TTTCTGCAACAAGGACTGAACAAACCAAAACGCTAGGTTCTGCACAAACAAAGGTCTTCACTTTCTGCAACAAGGACCAAACAAACCAAAGAAAACGCTAGGTTCTGCACAAACAAAGGTCTTCACTTTCTGCAACAAGGACTGAACAAACCAAAACGCTAGGTTCTGCACAAACAAAGGTCTTCACTTTCTGCAACAAGGACCGAACAAACCAAAACGCTAGGTTCTGCACAAACAAAGGTCTTCACTTTCTGCAACAAGGACCAAACAAACCAAGAGTGTGTGTTACTGTTCAGGTTTGTACGCACTTGTTTGTACATATGCTCTGTGCATATGTATGATGTCATTAGGAACTAAATTCTTTTTTTGAGGTAACACAAGACTTTCAAATTAAAGTAATTTGAATGCTTATACCAGAATTTTATGCTACACACAGTCGAGCTCGCGTGTACGTTACAGCAAGCACTGTAACTTTTTCAGGGATACAGAACTGATCTATCTTTCACCCTTTCCAGGTTTCAATCATTAAATAAATTTTGTCATTTTCAGGTACAAAATCTGACTACAGTTATTACTGGTCAGGAATTATTCAACATGGAATGTAAGTTATAATCATACTGTGCAGGTTTACTACAAACTATCTAAAAATAATGAATACATTTTAACGAAACATAATTATTACTATAATATTCGTACCAGTACAAAGACTTTTCATCATTCACCATCACCTGGTCAGTTTATATTTAACAGACATTTACATGAAGTAACATAAAATGGTGATGTAATCTACACATCCTCTGGTTTACGTTTAGATATATATATAAGATTTCATGACTCTGATGCTTTTAATTATACATTCTATTCTTCATCTATAGTCAGATAAAATTTATACCAAGTAAATGGCTTCTGGTCAATTTTGTTTACGTTTATTATCACAGTAGGGTCTTATTATTATTATTATTACTTATCAATTGTTTAGCGTTATTAATCATAGAACATGATCAAATTTTTGAACACCGATGATACACCTTGATGATTTGTTAAACACAATACTCCTTGATGATATATCAAACAAATCAAGGCTTAACTGAACAATTTTTAAAATGAATATTTGCTAGATAAATGAAAACAACAACAACAAAACTTGAAGGTTTATAAAAACAGAAATCCAGAAAACATTTAACCACATATTTACTTGCGCTAATACATATTTCAAAGTTTATATAATCACAACTATTGCATGGATTATCCGTTATTAAAAACATCACAGTTTTAATGCCCTTACAGCCATGGTCACAAGCTCACTGAAGTGGCAACACAATTTACATACACTTTTCAAAGTTCTCCAGTATCCTGTATGTAAGTGTTACTAACCCTAAAATGGCACATGGAACATTAATAAATTTCACACAATACCTCAAATAAACAATACTTTTCCCAGCCTTGTGCCTTTTCCTTTAAGATAACCAGGTTCTCTTCAGCACTGAAAAACTGTAGCTTATACCTTATTAATCTGTTTCTGAATGTGTACCTGTTAAAAGCTGACATTTTAACATACGTTAACTGTTCAAACAAACTTACAATTTGTGAAACTTCATTAATAACATTTCGTATAAAGAATTAACTAACATTATCAATAAACAACAGTTAAGTGATTTAATAAGTATACACACGAAAAACTGGACACCAGTCTTAATTTCATTAAAAACCTGACCTTTGAAAGCTGAGAGTTTTCTCTAGTACAGTGTACGAGTCTCATTACTTAACAAAAGGGTAATATATTGTGACATTAAGATGTATTATCTTTGAATTTGTTTAGCATTGTTTATTTGTTACTAAGGGCAAAGCTAAAAAATTGGCTTTCTCTGTTGTGCCTACCATGGGCATTGAAACCCATTTTTAGTGTTGTAAGCCCACAGACTTAATGTTGAGCCACCAGAGAGCTTGTTTAGAAAAATTTAAGTAGAATGCTTTCAAAAATTTTCCCATAAATATGCATTATATCGACATTACTGTAACGAAACTCGACAGAAATGCATCCATAAAACTTTACCTTCAAGTGTAATAATAAAAATAAAAGTTTACAATACTTATTTTTTCAGTTACTTTTGTCTTTATTATTTAATATTTACCATTCTTGAGGCTTGGCTGGTCAGGAAAATTTTGAATGTTCTATTTGAAACTACGTAGAAATACATTTGGGAAGTTCTTCCTTTTCATATCAGTCATATAAGCTAATATATATACTGGACAGTAAACACATAAAAGTGTGTTTGTATGGATTAAACATGCATAAAATGCATTAAAAACTAACCCTAAAAACAAACGTGAGGTTAATGAAACGTGATACACGTGCACCACGTAGGTAGTATTGGCCAATCAAATTGTGCTACAGCTCGTACCTAATTGTACATGTGATGGTAGTTGGTCCACATCAGTTTCTGTACGAGACAATCATGCGTTAGTTCTTGAAAGGTCACAAGCAACACTGGAAACTATTTACTGCAGTTTTTGAAATGTCAGAACTGCTTTATAACGTGTTAATCTGCTTTAAAACAAGTGCAGTATTCTGAATAAATGTGAAGTCTGAAAATACCTTTAGCAAACGTGCTGAAGTTTTCACAAGATGAATAAAACTTTGAGAAACACTTGACTATTAAACTTCATATAATAATTACATAGACTTTCAACAAATGTTAACACGGAAAGCTGAATAATAAAAAAAGAAACAATGAATAAGTGTGTAAACCGTGAGTAGCGGGACCGTTTTCCAGAATGTAAGGACAAACACAATGTAACGTTTAATTCTTCTTGATTTTCTGTCCCAGTATATTTTTCACTTGGTTGATGCTGTTTTGAAGAATTCCTTGATGCTTCAGACCAGGCAGCATGACCAATCCTAGTTCTAAAGGGATGCAAACATTAGTGTATATATACCCAAGTTCTATTTTTTACAAGGATGCAAACATTACTATATATATATACCCAAGTCCCATTTTTTACAAGGATGGAAACATTAGTGTATATATACCCAAGTCCCATTTTTTACAAGGATG